CACTCTTTCTTTCATCCGTCATGAAACTCTAGTTGACTGTATGAGAATCAATACGTGCCTGGAAGGATCTAGAGCAATAAGGGCTGGGACCAGTGTCTGTGAGTACAGGACCTGTTAACGCGGGTCTTTCAAACCTGCCGGCGCTGTTCATCTGCACTTTTTCTAAACAGCTAGCAAGTCGCTGCTGTGCCTCTACGGATTGTCGTTCTCCATACAGTGCGGTCTTGTGCAGCAGCCTCCCAAATGTCAGGGTTTATCCTGAAGGCTTTAAGTGTTTAGTTACAAGAGCAAAAGGATGGCCGCGATACTTTAGATCTTTTCTCCAGGCTATGCCGGCGTGGTGGGCAATGAACAGTCAGACAGATTGACTGGATCTGCACCACTGGGTGGTGAATTGATACATGACAAGGCAGATGTGGTCAACGCCCTTTAGGAACAAGCAACGGAATAAGTAGAGATAGAAGATTGTTTTGGCCTGGAGAGATTGAGGTATCTGGGTGTAACCAGAGGATCTGGCCGGCTCACTACACTTAGAGGAAAGGCAAGACGGACAAATAACCAGATTATGACCGGTACCATCAGTATTGGAACTCTGAGCTGGCTGCTAAAAATGAGGACGGAGCATGCATGGAAATGCCCTGAGTGCTATGATGTCAACTGACTCAACTCAAGGATGGCCGCGGAAAAAAATGGATCGGCAATATTAAAGACACCTGACGCCTTCACGGCATGACAATTGCAAATTATTCCTCCCCGCGGCTCTTTACAGCAGAAGTGGTTTATGATGATTATGATTTTATGTGTTGCCTTTAGCCTTTCCTTGGGGCGTTTCTTCTTCCACAATGAGAGCGTCTACCTTCTTGCATCTCACCGAAAAAGATAATTTTTGGGGAGCCGATGGTCTGGAAAATGAACGAGGTGACCTGTCAACCGAATCTGTGACTGCATCAGGATGGTATCGATGCTGGGAATACTAGTACTGTCCAACACGACAGGATCGCGGACCCTGTCTTGCCCTTTGATTTTCAATATCTCAGTCGAACTGTGTGGAAATGGTTGAGCTTATGTGCATGACATCTATATACAGTACGTGTTTCACAAGCATACAGCAGCATCTAATTAATACGTAGGTAAAGTTGTGTCGCCACAGCGACGTGGGAGGCTGCTGCACAAAACCGTTCTGGATGGTGTACGTCCCTCGGGCATGGTGTATCGGCCTGCTAGGCGGTTGAGGTTGCACAGGCAGAGAAACGGAGGCAGACTAGAAAGAATCGTACTGCTAATCCCACTCTTACAGCGGCTTCCATCTGTTGTCCGCACTGCTCAAGAACTTTCCTGGCTCATACTGGACTTATCAGCCACCTTCGTACTCATAATCATTGATCATTACTACTTTGGATGAAAGTGGTCTTCATCACTCGTGTAGACGAACAACAACAAGTTGTGTGAAGTAGTATTATGGTTCTTTTTAAAGTTTCTTTTAATAAATATAACCTCACAATTATTATTACTGTTATTATTATTATTATTATTATTATTATTATTATATTATTATTATTATTATTATTATTATTATTATTATTATTATTATTATTCTACCGTTTATCCCTCAGTGAAGCAAAGGTTCTCAACTTCTGTCGTCCTATCCTCTTTCCCTCTGTTTAACTTCAAGCTCTGGTTCCCTTCTTTGTGTGTTTCTGGTTTACACTGACCCTGAAGGTTCCAGTGTAGAGACATTCTAGTTATATTTCTCTGAGGTTTCCTCAACGCGTGTTCCATCTATTGCCAGTGTCTTTTCCTCAACTCTCGATTCACTGTAATTTTTAAGTACTTTCCCAAAACTCTGCATCGATCTACAGGTCACAGATTGAAAAGAGGAAGGTCTTGGATGGCGCAAGCTGAAGACACAATCAGACATGCATGCTGGCTTGATAAATTTGTGCGAGGTGAGGAGTGGGTCAAAGTGTCCGAGCAGTTTCAGACTTTTGCAGGGTTATTATCAATTTGTATCGTGAGTGCAGGGACCGTCCAGCTGGCGCTGCGGAATCAGAAGTTCAATAAATGATTCATGACAATTCCCGCCAAAGTGATGTAATTATCCATACAGATGACTCTGTGTACGGGGGTTTATAGAAAAGGCGTATGGGCGTCGCTTAGTGCAACAAGGCCTGACATATAATATCGAAACGTCTAGTTTGAGAATAGAGGTGGAGGCAGTCACTGCTGCCTTCCGCTGGCTTGAGGATCAGCTGTACACACATGCAGTGATTGTTACTGACATGCCTACCCAAAAGCATGTCTAAGAGTCGACTTATTGGAAGGCAAGGAACCAGCAGTCTGCACACACATGAGTCAGATCTGTGAAATGGATGCACATGCAACACTCAGGTTCTGGAACAAGTCTGCAGTCCAGAAGTGAATAAACAGCCTGAACTTTCCGCCAAAGTTTACAGCTGGTGAACGGGAAGAAGAAGTCACTGACTCACAGAGCATGTTGAGAAAGGTGGCGACAGGTATGCTCCGTGCGGAGCGGCAAGCATTTTTCAGAGGTCCCGGGTAGTTAGTATCCTGTGGTTATTCTCTCCAAGTTATGTCGGTGTGCTGGGAAATGAACAGGCAGATAGACTAGTCGGTTCTGCACGACTTGGTTGTGAACTGATGTATGACAAGCTGTTAAGTACCCTCTGGGAGCGAATGAAAAGATCATAACGGTCTGAGAAGAATGACGCTGCGAGAATTTATAGGGGATCTGGTCGACACTTAACACTCAAGGGAATGGCGAGACGGATATACAATCAGACAGCTACTGGTGAATCGGAATTAGAACTCTTCGTTTGCTGCTGAAGCCATCATACACTACACTGAGCTAGAAGTTTCTTTTTCTGCTCAGTTGTATCCAGTACAAGTTCTTCAATATCATTAATGGAATCCAGTCCAGCACCTTTAGCCTCCCTCACCAGCCAGCGTGTTATGGTTTCCTTTGCACCTCTTCGCCTCCTCAAAACAACAGTTTTCTATTTCAGTGCCTGTTTGGTGAATCACTGGTCGCTTCTTTTCATGATGTGCCTGAAAAACTGCCACCTACTTGTTCTGTTTTTTTAGGTCCCTGTTTTCTAACGTACTTTCCAACGCTAAATCTATGACCGAAGTGGCGTAGCCGCTAGACGCTCGCTCGAGCCCGAAGGTCGTGGGTTCATGGTCGGAATTTTATTTCAACAATGACACTGGCTCCCAGGTTCCCCCAGCCTAAAATGGGGAGCAGATAAAGTCCTGGGAAGTAAAGGCGGTCGGCCTGCTGTTGATCACAACAGCCACCGAGTGTCGCTTGGTCTAAACTGTATAGGTCTCACACTAAATATCCGATATTATAAAAATATATCATAACAAACGAAAATAACTAGTCGGTTTCACAATATCACAATCACAAAAAATGTGTGAACGTTGCGGCTAGAATACCTACATCAGCACATGACATGAACTGACAATATTGCAGTAGCAAACCAGAATACACAAAATCATTTGATTACGATCTCTCTAAGAAGCGTCCATGTGTTTGTCTGGCCAGCTGAATGCACCAAATACAGCTCAAAGTATCCAATACAGCTGAATGTACCCAATACCGCCTAAAGTACCCAATACAGCTGAATGTACCCAATACAGCTAAATGAACCCAGTATAGATTAATGTAGCCAAGACAGCTAAATGTACCCATTACAGCTGAATGTACCCATTACAGCTGAATTTACCCAGTATAGATTAATGTACTTAAGATGTTTGAGTGCACCAATACAGTTTAATGAACATTATATAGTTTAATGCACCTAAAACAGTTGAATGCACATAATATAGTTAAATGCACCTAAAAAAGCTGAATGCACCTAATACAGCTGAATATAACCAATACAACTGAATGTACCCAGTACAGCTGAATGTACCCAGTACAGCTGAATGTACCCAGTACAGCTGAATGCTCCCAATACAGCTGAATGCACCCAATACAGCTGAATGTACCCAACACGCATCAGGAGTAAACAAATGGTTCCAACACATATTACTTTACATCTATGCCCCACCTCTATCATATCCTCAAACTTAACAGTACACTTCAAGCTGTTCACGCATGCGCTAACCAATAGGAACTTCCTAAAAGTCTCCCGTCTGTTTCCGATGACTGGAAAGACATTTCCTCAGGGACGTAGACCGCACTCGTTGACACCTTTTATCGCTCGTCTCCAGCAAGGTGCCCCAGCCATCACACCTGTTTGTTTACTGAAGTTTTCACATCGATCTAACGAACGACTGCAGGTGAGTCGAGGAGCAAACGAAATGTGCCAGGAGAAGAAGCGCTGGCACAAGGGAAACATCGGGGTATGTTGCTTTTAGTCCTTACAAACTTTCGGGGGGGGGGGGGGGTGTTCTATAGCGCTAAGCCTAGTTTAACTGCGAGCATAATAATAACAAGCAGAATTAACAAATTCCAGTGAATCAAGAGGTGAAGATCAGACAGTGTTAGATAGAACACACGCTGAACAAACCTAAGAACAATACAACTAGAAAGGCTTTACACTAGACCACAGGGGGCATAGTAATAGAAGGTGTTTGGTTATTTTATGTTATTTTATCACATCACGCCGGCTTCGAGATTTGGTTGGCAATCCCCAGATCGCTCCATTATACGGGGGGGGGGGGCGGGCTAGTGTTAAATGAATAGCGATTACTCTTAAGCCTAACCTTACCCCCCCCCCTTTTTCCCCCGTACTATGGGACGGTCTGGAGATTTCCCTACCTTGAAGCTGGTGTGATGTGGTGAAATAACATTAAAGAACCGCGCCCTCCCCCTCAACGTATTCCGGTTGTTTGACACAGGCGTCAAGAGTGTGTACTTAACATATAAATAGTCGACGACAAAGCGGGAGCGCTACTGAAGATAGGGGTCAATAATCTCTACTGAATATGTATATATCGTTGGGGACAAGCGAGAGAGCTACTGAACACAGGGGTCAAAAATCTGTACTGAACATACGATCGAGAACAAAGCGGGAGCCATGCTGAACACATATACAATGGGGACTTACCGGGGTTGTGTAGGGCGGCTCTGACAGGTCGATGTTCTCCAGAACTAACTTGTCACGTAGGATATAGCCCAGCTGTGCTTTGGGGTAAGTAACCAAGCTCTGCTTGCCCAGGTCGTGTAGGTCCAGGCACAAACTGCTGCTTTCGGACCGCGCGGCTTCCAAACACTTGCCAGCGACAGCCGAACCTGCGACTAAACCCGAGGTTTCATCGCTGCCGTCGCCCATCTCAGCCCGGTCACCGGCTGGACAGTTGTCGCAGTCTTCCAGCGTGAAGTATACAGCGGCGCCTCCTTCCTCCCGTAGCACTCTAACGGCCTGCAGCAGTTTCTCCCGTTGATGGTCGTTGGGCACGCCGATGGCGTTCAGATCAGCTTCTCCGATTTGCTTGCATACCTCCAAATCATCGTATCCGTTGTCTAGAAATGCCTGGGTGTACTGAACCATATCCACAGACCGCAGCCAGCCCTCAACGATGCTGCTGCTGTTAGTCTCAGATGCCATCAGGAATCTTTGCAGCGTTGTCCGCACAAAACACAGATCTGATGCTTACATCCGCCACAGTAACACATGATTCCGAGAGTCTACATAACATAAATATCCCAGAGAAACACAGCGCCCGTACGGGCGACTGCATGGATGCTGGGGGGCCTGTGTCGGTGTGTTGCTGGCGGGTTCCTGGTGCGTCTGTCTGTGACGTGAAGTGCGCGACGAGAGAGCTCTGTACCATAGCTCCCGCCGTCTCCAGCCACAGCGAGCCCTGGCCAGATTGTGTGTGCGCACGCGCGTGCGTGTGGTGTGCGCTGTCAAACCCGTGGTAAATTCTAGAATTTCTCTCCGCCGGTACCACAGCGGATATTGTGGTAGTTGGGGCATTTTTGCCATAAAGACTTGTTTCCATTTTAGAGTAGTTTGGTCGCGCTGAGTCGGATAAGTGGAAGAGGTGAGTGGAGAAAATAAGTATTGATAGAATAAATAGGGAAGAAATGAAGAACAAAAGAAAGAGGGGATAATTGTAGAACAAAAGAAAGAAGGAAGAAATGAAGAACAAAAGAAAGAGGGACAAAATGAACAACAAAAGAAAGAGGGGATAAGTGAAGAACAAAAGAAAGAGAGAAGAAATAAAGAACAAAAGAAAGAGGACTAAAATGAAGAACAAAAGAAAAAGGGAATAAATTAAGAACAAAAGAAAGAGGGAATAATTTAAAAAAAAAGAAAAAGCGAAGAAATGAAGAACAAACGAAAGAGGTGATAAGTGAAGAACAGAAGAAAGAGCGAATAGGTAAAGAACAAAGGAAAAGGGTAAAAATAAAGAAAGAAACATAGAGGGAAGAATAAAGAACAACAGAAATAGGAAGAAAAAAAACAGAATAAAAGAAAGAGGGAAGAAGATTGGGGTAAGGGGGGGGGGGGGGGGGGCAGCTAGACGTCAGAATGGAGAGAGACAGGATAGAGATGAGGAAGGAGGGATTAATATAAAAAAGTGCAGGTGAGGAAAGGGATAAAGCAGAAAAGGTAAAGAAAGATAGATGAACGTGGGACATTGTTATTCGTCCATCCCGAGTGATGAAGACTACTTTTCATCCAAAGTAGTAATGATCAATGATTAAATGTTGAATGTTGAATTAGGAATCGACATTACAGCACTCGGAACAGTCCCATAAGCGCCCCGTCCCCAACTTCAGCAGCAAACTAAGAGTTTCTATTCCGATGGCACCAGTAACTGTCTGTATATCCGCCTCGCCTTTTACCTTAGTGTTGAGCGTCTGCCAGATCCCCTGGTAACTTCGCAGCGCCATTCTACTCAGTTCAAAATGATCTATCTGTGCCTCCGCACTGTTCACTAGCTCCCAGAGGGCCCTCACAACGTCTAGCTTGTCATACATCAGTTCACCACCACATGATGCAGATCCAGCCAGACTGCCTGCCTGCTAATTTCCCAACACATCAGCATGACCTGAAGAAAAGATCGAAAGGATACTAACTACCCGAGACCTCTGAAGGGATGCTTGCCACTCTGCACGGAGCATGTCTGTCTCCACCGTTCTCAACATGCTCTGTGAGTCTGTTGCAATCACGACATGTGTGTACAGTTAATTCTCAAGCCATCGGAAGGCAGCGGTAACTGCTTCTACCTCCATTCTCAAACTAAACGTTGTCATTTCATATGCAAGGATTTGCTGAACTAAACTTACTATAAACTCCCATGCACTTCGTCTCCCCTCAACATGATCTGTATATACAATCACATCACTTGAGCGGGAATTGTCATGAATCATTTGTCGATCTTCTGATTCTGCAGCGCCAGCTGGCCAGTCCCTGCGCTCGCGACCTAAAGTGATAGGAACCCTGCATACGTCTGAAACTTGCACTGACACCTTGACCCGCTCTTCTCTTAGCCCAAAAGTATCAAGCCTGCACGCATGTCCAACTGTGTCTTCAGCTTGCACCATCCAAGACCTTTCTCTTTTTAGTCTGTTACCCTTAGCTCTACTCATGGCTTCATGCAGGATGTGCTTTTTGTCTGCAGCTACTCTGAGATATGACTTTGCTTGCAAAACTTTAAGCCTCTCTGCAACAGCAGGCAGTGCAAGTATATATCGCATACATACTACTGATGTGTCTTTTGTACGTCCCACAATTACATGTATGGCTTCATTCTTGATGCGTTCAAGTTTCACCAGCTGACTATTTGGTATGATAACCATTCCAAGCCCATAATCTATCACCGACAGGATCACATGCTGGAACATTGCCTTCCCATGATCCTTGTAGGCTCCTACGAAAATGTTACCCAGTTACCTCAGTCTGTTTTTCTCTTTGATATTCTTCTTCTTCTTTGTGTCGTCTCTCTGATACCAGGTTGTAGTACAGTGTCGTGGTTTTCTGTATTTGTCTTGCGCTTCTCGGGTGGCTTGGGCGATGAATTTGTTAATCTTTTTGCAGGTTTTATTGACACCATTTATCCATATCTTTCTTGTTCTTCCTCTCCCTTCCCCCCAGATGTTCTACTGTAAAAAGTATTATATGCAGTCTGGTCTGGCTGCATTCTCACCAGATGGCAGAACCATTTCATTCTTTGTCAAAATAATCCAGACATTGTCTTATTCCAACTTTCTTTCTAATGCTGGTATTCGTAATCCTGTCTCGTCTAGTGTTGTTAGTGGCATTACGGAGTCGGCGCATTTCACAAATGGCTACTTTTTGTTCTAGTGCCCCATTCACTGTCCATGTTTGGCACTGATAACATAATGTAGTGATAAAGATATAATTAATCATTTGCTGTTTTGCTGGAAGGAAGACATGTTGGTGTCTAAGCAGTGGGGCTGACTGGTAGGTGACAGCATTTACCTTCTGTACTCTAGCTTCTATCTAACTATCGAGTCTGCCATCCTCCGTAGATAAGCTTCCTAGATATTTGAGTTCTCATACTTGTTTTATTCATGAACATGAACATTCATGATATTTTGTTTCCTGCCTATCCTCATTACCTCAGTTTTCGCGGTTTTTATTCTCATGTCATACTCTGTGAACGCTTGATGTTATAGTCAACATGGTCTTGTTCCTGATGGTATATTAGACATTGATCGTCTGCAAAAAGAAGTTCCATGATTTCACCAGTGTCTGTATTTGCCTCCTGTGTTATTCTATCCATGTAAGTAATGAACAGCAATGGTGAGAGGACCCATCCATGTCTGACACCTAATGAGTTGGGGAAATCAGTCAGTCATTCCTTATTTTGTTTTTACTGTGCAAGGACTATCTTGGTAAAGAGCCTCGATGTTACCCAACAGTTGAATTCCATAATCTTCTAGAATTTTCCATAGTTTGCATCTGTTGACTCGAACGAAAGCCTTCTCTTGATCAATAAATATATGGTATCGACTTGTATCATATTCAATAGACTGCTGGCAAATCTACCTTAAAGAAAATATTGCTTCTTAACAGCTCATTCCCATCCTGAAACCGAATTGCCTATTACTTAACTGAGATTCTAGTACTGGTCGAGATCTAAGTTCCAATATGTTCCAGTATGGTTCAAGATAAAGATGCCCCTAAATGTTCCACATTCTTTGTTGTCACCTTTATTCTTCCAGATGGGGACATTGATTGCACTCTACTAGTCACTTGGAACTTTCCGTGCCTCCTAAGCTATGTTGAAGATTCTGGTCAACAATGCTGTTGCTGTTGTTTTACATGAAGGAGCATTTCTGTTGTAATACCATCTATTCCTGCTGCCTTGTATTTTTACTTTGCTTAAGGGCATTTTCAACTTCAGATTCCAGTATCTTTGGTTCATAGTGATGACACCAGTATTAATTGTGAGGCTTGGAACATTAGCTCTTACAATTCTTTTGTCCTGAAAAAATGACAAAACAGCCGCCTTTTAGAAACCTTGACAGCACCCATTTTTGCACATCAGTTAGTCACCTTGTCTTCAGTTGTCTGTAGCTCTTGGGCTATCCGTTGTTTATCACTTCCCTACCTGTATGCGGCAACATCATCGGCAGATATAAATATCCTTCCAAAACAACATTAACAATGATTATGAATACGAAGAAGGTTGGTTAGTCCAATAAAAGCCTGGAAAGTTCTTGAGCTTCGCAGACAACAGGTGGAAGCCACAGTAGGCGTGGGATTAGCTATACAGTTCTTTCTAGTCTGCCTCAGTTTCTTTGCCTGTGCAACCTTCTCTGCCTGGTAGGCTGATGCACCATGCACGAGGGATTACGTCATCCATAACGGTCGTGTGCAGCAGCCTCCCATGTTGCTGTCCTTATAGTGTTTTTTCTGTCCTCCATTGGATTTCTTCCCTTGCTGGAGCTCGCCATAAAATACTCTCTCTGGGAGGCGATAGTCTGGCATGTGGGTTGGATGATCAGCCCAACGCAGCTGTTAATTCTTCAGTATCGTGTAGATGCTAGACAGTTTTGCCCTATCAAGAACCACAGAGTATTTGGGATCCTATCTTGCCATTTGATTCTAAGTAGTTTTCTGAGACAAGATATATAAAACTGATTCCACTTTTTAGCATGTCGCTGATATACAGTCTACGTGAGAAATTATGACAGTGGGAAACACAAGAAGACGAGAAGGAAAGACAAATGGCAAAAATAAAGGAGGATAGTTGAAGAAACGAATGTCTCTATGCAGGTAGAAGAATTTGCGGAAGAAATAAAGGCCCCCCCCCCCCCCCCCCCCACCCCCTTTCCCAAAAAAAAATTAATAAGGAGATAAGGGATCAATTCAAAAATTAATAGAGCCCTCAGGTTTCGCTTGTAACACATCGATGTAAAATATTAATCACGCAAATTGGCATCACTTTGAAATGACCAAACATATGAAGCCCATATGAAGTTGCTGCTTATATTAACGCCCGTATGAAATGGATAATAAAATTAACACTTAAGTAAAATGACTAACTATATCAATACATGTGTAACCAGGCAGCCAATACACTGATGCATACATTGAAACTATCAATCATATTAACAGCCTTGTCA